CAGCGTTGAGGGAATGCAAGTTGTTAGTTTAAGAATTCGGGTGCTGGAGAGGTTTAAATATTTCAGTTTTTTCGGCCATTCACACATATCTGGAACCTCATCAAACTTATTTAGGCTAATGTCAAGATTAATCAGTTTGGGTAGCCGAGCTACAGAGTCTGCAGTCTGCTTCAGAGATTTCAGAGAGTTTTGACTTAGATTTAAAGTTTGCAATGAAGGCCAAGCACCTTTACAGATTGTCTCATTTAAGCGATTATTTACGAGCAAGTTATCATGAAAGTCCAGATACTGAAGTGAAGAAAAATGTTTTGCAAGTCTGCATGGTACCATGAAAACCCTAGAGCTTGCAATGGTGAGTCTTTTCAGTTTGTTTATTTGTGACTCCATGCCTTCCAGGTCAAAAAACAAATGAAAATTCGGAATCATTATATTTATTATTGATACCGTTTCAACAAAACTTTCCCCACTGTGTGATATTTCTGTAATATCCCATGCTCCTTTCCCCTCAAGCACACAATCAATTGCCTCTAACTCCTGCAAAGAAGTGATCTCCTTCAGTAATACTATTATTCTGCTTATATATTGATCTGTGAATGAAGAATCTTTAAATGTAAGTTTTCGTATGCTAAAAGGAGGTGTAGAGTTCTGCACCAAGCTTTTTTTTTCAATCTCCAGTTTGATTTCTCTCACTTCTAACCAAATGACAGAGTGAAGAATGTCCCTGACAATTGCTGAGAATATATTCGTGTTTTTTAGGTTTATTATCATGTGATTTATCTTCTTAATCGGTTTCAAGCTTCCTGGCTCATACTGACCAAGACTGCTACCATCAATCCACAACTTATCGAGAAGCTCAATGCCCTCAAAGTTCCCTTGCCTTATCAAGGAGAACTGTGGGTTGCCCAGGTGGAGAGAGCTCAGGTTCCTCAGGCTGGAAAAAGGGGAGCTTCCCCCAAGGTCTCTGTAGGAATTCCCCTGGAGGTGGAGGTGCTGGAGTGAAAAAAGGTGCACAAACCACACAGGGGACAAGTGAGCCAAGCTGTTCTCTGATAAGTCCAAGAGCTCCAGTTTCCCAAGGGAGCGAAACGAGTCCTCATCTATTGAGCTGATCTCGTTGCCTTGCAGGAGAAGGGATCTGAGGTTCACAGCCTGCTGCAGATCCTGGGTTCGGATCTGCTTTATCCTGTTGTGGGACAGGTTTAACGCTGTGATTTTGTCAGTGATTCCTGTGGGAATGAAGTCCAAGCCCATGGAAGAGCAGCTGCAAAGCTGAGTGTTATGGCATGAAGGACAAACCTGCTTCAGCTCCTGCTGTTTGGAGAGGTTTGCAGCTAAGACCACATAGATGGCCCACACTTGCCAGGTGTTTGAAGGTCTGGATTTGTGTTTTGTCTGGTTGACCATTTTGCTGTAGGAAACAGAAATGAGAGAAGGTAATGTTGACTTTTCTTTTTGAATAGCAACTGAAAAAAAATTAAAACCTGTGCATTTTTATTAAGAAGTTCAAATTAAAAGTTTTTTTCTGTAAGAGTTATCCTGTGACATCCCTCTTCCTCTCTTAGTTCAGCTGCTGAGCCCTGCAAACACTGTGTACTTGCAAAGACGTGGTGTGTACTGTTTGGAGTACAGCCAGATCATGTCTCAACAGTCGTAAAGGACCATTTCAATGTCCTGCCTTTTCATACGTGCTCTGGCTATGACTCTCACGTCTTACATCTCTCGCGTTTTGCCACCTCTCAGCAATGAAGCTATGGCTGGGTGTTTCAGCCCTGAACAGGGTTAAGATGGTTAGATGGTCAATGATCTGGATGAAGGGACTGAGTGGGCCTTCAGTAAGTTTGCAAACGACACCAAGTTGAGTGGGAGCGTTGATCTGCTTGAGAGTAGAAAGGCTCTGCAGAGGGACCTGGACGAGCTGAATCATTGGACTGAGGCCACTGTATGAGCTTCAACAAGGCCAAGTGCAGGGTCCTGCACTTTGGTCACAACAACCTCATGCAGTGCTACAGGTCTGGGGATGAGTGGCTTGAGAGCTGACTGGCGGAAAAAGACCTGGGGGTGTCAGTCGACAGCCAACAGAACATGAGCCAGCAGTGTGCCCAGGTGGCCAAGAAGGCCAACGGCATCCCGGCTTGTATCAGAAACAGCGTGGCCAGCAGGAAGAGTGAAGTGATTCTTCCCCTGTACTCAGCACTGCTGAGGCTGCACCTCAAATAACGTGTACAGTTTTAGGCCCCTTACTACAAGAAGGACATTGAGGGGCTGGAGTGTGTCCAGAGGAGAGCAATGAAGCTGGTGAAGGTATGGAAAAGAAGTCCTATGAGGAGCAGCTGAGAGAAATGGGGTTGTTCAGCCTGGAGAAGAGGAAGCTCAAGGGAGACCTTATCGCCCTCTACAACTACCTGACTGGAGGGGGTAATGAGGTGGAGGTCAGTCTCTTCTACCAAGTAACAAGTGATAAGACAAGAGGAAATGGCATCGAGTTGTGCCAGGGGAGGTTTAGATTGGATGTTAGGAAAAATGTCTTCACTGAAAGGGTTACCAGGCACTGGAACAAGTTGCCCAGGGCAGTGGTGGAGCCACCATCCCTGGAGGGATTTAAAAGACATGGAGATGTGGTGTTTAGGGACATGGTTTAGGGGCAGTTGGCAGTCTTAGGCTAACAGATGGACTCAATGATCTTAGAGGTCTTTTCCAGCCTAAATGATTCTGTGAATCTCAATGCTCACAGCCTTTGCTGCATCACCCTGTCCATCTGTCCTGGTTTTGCTGGGATAGAGTTATTTTCTTTATAGTAGCTAGTGAGAGTTTTGTTTTGGATTTGTGCTGGAAATAATACTAATAACTCACCAGCAGATGTTTATATTACCTCAAGGTTTGTTTTCCAGTCTCTGCCTAAACATGTGTTCATAGTTGCTTTCGGGTTTTGTTAGGTTTTTTTTCCCTTCTTTCTCTTTGCGCAAGAGGACGGAGGGAAAGTGAAAGCCCGGGAATTTCTGGGACAGGATGACCCAAGACAGATAATCAGGGTGTGATCCCAGCAGACCAATAAATATGTGTTCTACACCACAAACATCACAACCACTATAAATTGGGGAGTTTGCAGGGGATGACCCCTTCTTCCTTCCTTCCTTTCTTCCTTCTCTTCCCTTCCACTCCATGATGGCAGCCCCTCTTGGTTCCTGAGCCTCACCTCTCACGCATTGCGTTTCCGCTGGCACACAGCCAGCGACTGCTGTTTGTGACCTGAATATAACTTTGATTGCTTTAGTATTGCTGTTCCTATTCTTATAACAATTCGTTGGTATTATTATTATTTCCTTTTGGTTTTATTTTTATTATTAAATAGACACAGCATGTCCACCCTCTCAGCGGGCTGTGGCTTCTGACACTGCAAACTTTCCCAGCAGACATTTTCGGTTCCCCTGCATGGATTCTCAGCAGCCTCAGTGTTTCTAAAAGGCAGAGCTGTGCAGGCTCCTGGCACTCCCTTCTCTACGCTGTGCAAGCAGTTCACATTCTTTACTGGAAAGGCAGAACAAGCTGATATGCAACCAAACAAGTCTATCGCCCTTTGCTGTAAATCAACACTGGTAACAGACGGGAATTGGATGTTACTCTCGCCCTGTAAACAGCAGATGTAATTAGAACAATCGTGATTTTAATTTACAGAAGGGCTGTGCTTCCTGCCACAGGTGCCAAAGAACATTTCACCATTGGCTACACCAGAAAATAAGTCACCTATTAAAGCTCACATGGTGCTGTAAGCATCTCCGGCGCCACAGACAAATGGTATCCCCAAATCCTGAATATACAGAGAGCAAGAGCTTACCTTGTGTACTGCACGCTGCGTTTCAGCCTCCTCGTGTGCTGATCGTGGGCTTTGGGATACAAGTGGTCACCTCACATCTGTGAGCACAACAGAAGCTGGAAATCCTTTGGCAGGTCTGATGAAACAGCAGTCCTGGAGTGAGGAAATGATTCAGTCTGTGCTCCTCAAGCAAAGCTTTATGTCAACAGTTTCCTGACATCCTCTAACTCCTTGGCCAGTGAAGCACACCAGTGTGCATGGCTTTTCCATAGTGGCTGCTCCCCTAAGGAAACCATGGCTTCTGAAGAGCTCAGCATTGCCAGGCACACATGACGCTGCCCTTTAAACTCACACTCAACCACTCCTATCGCTGATGCTTTCTGGGGACACAAAAACAAGCATAGCTCGTGTTTGCACTCTTCTTTGCAAGCTGAAGTTCAGTGGCAGAGCTCTTTCCTTTTGCCAGTCATTGCCCATCACTGGGAAGGCTGATGCAAACATTTTGCGCAAGTCACTCTTTCACAATCGCTTCCCCCAGCATTCGGGGCAGAAACAGTTCCTCAGCAGAACTGCATGCACCTCCCTGTACCTCTGATTTTGATATTCGTTATTTGGTACGCGCTGGGGGGTGTTAACTGTGCTGAGCAACAGAACATCCCAGCACAGCCAAGTTATTTGGTAGTGTAGGTTCTGTAAAATGTTATCAACATATAGATTAATATATGTATATAGATATTATATTGATAAAAGTGTTGGAGTCAAGTTGTTTAGTCAAAGAGCGGACTAGAGAAACACTCAGCATAGTTTTGTTTCCTAGGACACTGCGGTCATACGTTATCAACAAATAAAAAATGCATAAGGATGAGAATGGTATTCAGTCTGAACAAGAAGACACGGTCTGAAAGAACGTATTCGTCTGTAAACATCCAAGGTAACTTTGAGAGGGGAGGTTTGATGATATTTATTTTATCCTGACTGAATGGAAACACACGGCTGGTCAAGTGGCCAAGCATGCTGCGTGCATAAAGGGGCAGGGAGTTGTCCTACCAGCCCTGAAAGGGAAACTCGTTCAATTCAAACACCAAACCTTCCTACCACAGTTCTCTTTTTTTAATTCCTCTGCACAGAAATTGTCTGTCTGCTGCACGCTTGCACCAAGAGGTACCTGCCTGGGAGCAGACAGACAGACGGACCCATTCCTACCAGCTCTTGGCTATGTGTCGGAGGGCCCAGGGTGGCATCTGTGTGCTCCAGGGTGGCAAAGCACAGGCAGAAGCCTGAGTGCACCATGTAACAACCTTCAGTCCCGCTATGTTAAAATTAGCATTGCACATTGGGTTAAGGATTTGATGCTTTCCAAAAAAAAGGAATTGAAAGATTGAGACACCCTTGTGTTTTCTGTCTGTCATAGAAGAGAGATGATAAGCCCAACAACATTTTTAAAGCAGTTTTACTAGGGGGAGGGTGTAATGGAGAATAGAGACAGAGCAGGCTGTGGAACACAGCAGAGAAGGGAAATGGTGTTTAGTGAAGGGATGTCACTGACTTCCCAAAATCTGCCTCTTCCCTCTGCTACCTTTCAGCTGTAACAGCTCTAGTTCTTAAAAAGAGGAAGACTTTCAGTCTTCAGAATGTTTTAAAGTGTTAGTTCTGAGTTTGATGCAATTCATTCCTATATGTTTTTGTCATCAAAACTGCAAGTCCTTGATAAAGTTAAATATCATTAAATTTGTGAAGAGCTTTGAAGAAGACGACTCGAGGTAGGAGGCAGCCGCTCAATTCAGCAACCTGCTCAAAAAGCCAAGAAATCAGGGTGGGCCTTCTGCTTGTTTTCATCAGCAGGGAGAAAAGTCTACAGGCAGCACAACTTCAGTCATTCGAGGTCAATTTGTCAGGATTTACCAGGTTATCTGGAGTTGGGAAGGTCCAAGGATGCTCAAGGTGGCCAGAAATGCCCTCCAGAGAGGCAAGGTACCAGCCAGCTGCCTCCCAGAGCACCAGCTCCAAACTGAGCTGCAACCTGGACTCAAAACAACTTCTTTTGAAATCAGAGTCTACACTAGGAGAAAACTGTTGTCTTTTAAGGTGAGAATACTGTTTACTTGCCTTTTTTCTTTACTTTTTTTTCTTATTCTTTCAGAGTAACTGCATGTTTAGCATTGAACAAAGTTGCACCTTGTAGGCGCTTGCTTCCCATTACCCTCCCTCTATGGCAGCGTTTAAAAAGGCACAGACCTCCACCTCTGCCAGTACGTTACTATTTCCCAGCAGACGGGCACGGATCTGCAACAAGCCTGTGTTTTTGTAACTGCAGATGTTGCCAGCAGACACCACCCAAGCCTTTGCCAGCGGATAGAGAAGGCTGAGTCAGAGTTGTGGTCAGCATTTTTGAGGTTCTCCTGCTTTAAATGTTCCTGTTTATCCCACAGCAGCACAAGAAGCACACGTTTCCCTCAGCTGGCTCTTCCCTGACCTGCTTAGTATCCCTGCCTTTAAGGTCCCTTCCAACTCAAACCATTCTGTGATTCTAGGAGACAGGTGTTGGCCAAAATAGTTGTAGAGATAGAAGTCTATGTGGGACAGAACCCCAGTG